CACCTTGCACCGGAGCTTCCTCCAGCTTGAGCAGCAGTGGCGTTGAGCGTGCGACGACCACTCTTGTTAATGTCCTTCAAGAGTGGCTTGGTCGTCTCGGGGCTGGCGTGGGTCATTGGTTCCGCACGCCGCCGGCCCAGCTCAGCCGCACACTCCTCTCTGCCCTTCCTTCTCAGAGGCCTCCTTCCACGGGCAGCTCTCGTCTCCATCGTGCCCTGCGGCGATGAGGCCCCTTGTTAAACCGCCGCACGGCCAATGGCATTATTGGTTGGAATGGAAGCGAGTGAGTTGGGGCCGGGGGAGGCGAAATCAAAGGCTTCGAGGTTTCATTAACACATTCCTGGGTTCGCCATCCGAATTGTCATTTGTATGCAGGGTGCATGCGTTTTGCCATTTAAATTTGTGCGCGTTGCTTGCGACCGGCACTGTACGTGCCCCTGCTGTTAGTGGTTGTCTATTTGCACATGCTGTTTGTATTCGTCTTGGAATGTCCCCACCGCCCCCCCTCTTCCAAATCACCCCGCCAAAAAACAATGTAGTCGCGCAATAAAAAATACGATTACAAAATTATTGGTGGGATGTGAGAAAATGTAGCAGTTGAACGGCACCGTATCACGAGCGGCCGCATTCACATGCTTGTGCAATTTGAGCGAAAAAAATTAACGGATATGAATTTGAATTCCGGTGAACGGCGCCTGTAAAAGAGAGGCGTCGTAATCTAAATGAGCACGCTATTGGAAAGTCACAAAGCGTAATCATCCATTCGATTGTAGGAAGATATGTGCTCTTATTAAAAAGAGACCACATGGGTTATTTAAAAAATGTAAGTAAAAAATGGTCTTTCAAGGACCTATAAAAATGCCTAAGAAGAGAGTTCTTATTTTTAGGCAGTAGAGGTTTCCGCACAGCTCAATTAGGCTTGACCACGAAACAAGTATTGCTATTTAAAGGTTTAAAAATGTCAGGATTTGGTACAAAGATGCCTAGATAGAAAAGGACACGCGCTAATTCTTATCTTACAATGTTAGCACTGTGTTATATGCACGAGTAGGTGGCTAAACTAATTGGACTGTTGTGGTATACTTTACTGTTGTGATGAGAACACTGAAGCTTAGTCTTGTGACCTCTTTAAACACGTGATAGGGCATTGCATAAGCCAATCTCAAATCCGCACGCAACATCTATCTGTGCACAAAACATTTGGCCTTTCACGAATATATATTCCGCTATTATAAACAAGTTTTGCATAGAATATATGCGGCGCTTTTTGTCTCGAACTATTATCGCCATGGTAAGTAAAGGACGCAGATACAAATTTTGGTTTCTTGGCAAACCTTGTGTTTCTATTGATAATGTCCATAACGTGCGGTGGCATGCTGATCGCAAAGCGGCACAGATTGCATTATAATGGTGGAGTTTTTTCGAAACTGAGTGGGGTGCAATGGTGGCAAGGTGTTAACTGCCTCGCCTGGTATACAGGAGGTCGTGGGTTTGATCCCGACCCTGACACCTGTGTGTTGGAGTGTCTCTCTCCCCGTGGTCGCGTGGATTCATCTCCGGGTCCTCGGTTTTTTTCCCTCCACATTTTAGAAATGCGCGTTTAGAGTGTTTGGCTGCTACAGATGTCCACATGATAAGCCACTTCGTTGAGCTATCATTTGTGGCCAGGTCGCTTCTGAATAAGGGTGATATAGCTCAGTGGACCTTGCCCGGTAAAATAAAAAAATATATAGTTTAGTTTATAGTTTAGAGACGTGTTCCACAAAACAATCTCATTACAGGGTTTCCCAGCCAGATGAAAGCACTTTCACCCCCAGGTGCATTCTGTGTATTATTAATGTGGCTCACTTACAAGTTAGTAAGTTGTAACAATCATTAACGTTGACTGATTAAGTTACTTTTCAACTTGCACTTAATTTTTTTTTCACCTCCACTGCAAAACTCAAGTCCTTCCTTGCTTCCGCTCATGTCCTAACATGGATCACCTTTTTAAATCCTTTATATTAAGTTCGTTTGCTTGCGTGCTTGCGTGCTTGCGTGCTTGCTTGCTTGCTTACGACCATGCAAATCTTTCGGTCGTTTTTTAACCCACTTTCCGTGATCCAATCGAGCTGACATTTTGCACACAGACTCGTTGTGCGAGACAATTAATGTTCGTGAAATTTTTTTTTCCAAAATTTACACTGTTTAGGGAAAACAAATTAAATATTTAATTACCAATTGCTTAATACTGGCAGACAATCATCTGACCCATAGGTAGCAGCCATCTTAAGCCAGGGGACGAGAGGACTCTAGCCGCCACGCATATAAAGGATTTAGAGTGAAAAACTTTGTTTTTACGGGTTATACTTATTTTCTGTTTGCCATTCGCCATTCGCATGGGGTATAGACATCGGCGCAATGCTTTCGCGTGCTCCGGCAAACACGAAAGCCGAACTGCAGGCAGGCTCTCGGCGAAGGTTGATCATGTCAGCAAAATGTAAACGCATGACCTCCAAGCGAGTGATCCCACGTGAACACCTCCCCGCCCCTACTACTTCTCATTCCCTCTCTCGTGCCTGCTTTATAATTCAATCTGCTTGCAACGGGGTGGGGGAGGGGCGGGATGAGGGCCGCTGTGCTTTATAAGTGGGCGAGACTCCCTCTGGACACAGTTAGCAGTTGTGAACTGCCTGTGAAAGATTAGGCTTGCACAAATCAATAGCAGCAGCAGCAGCAGAGAGAGAGAGAGAGCGAAAACAACTTTATTTAAGTTTTTGTTGTTCTTTCCTTACTCCCCAAAGCTTGATTTGAAATTCCAAGCGATATCCTCGTGCAATTTAAAATGGACCAGAATGCACGTGAATTCAAGGTGGTTGTCCCACCGCACTTCAGCTAAATCCATTCTCATATTGTACTATGCACACGCGTGCATACTACCCACCTTTACCAACCCGTACTAACCAGCGTGGTGATGTGTGGTTAAGTAACCCCTGCGACCCGTACCGCGTGGTGAGGCCCCTCATCTTAGAAACATATTGACGAAAGGGCTGTGTGTGTGTGTACACGTTCCACAATGCAGAGTCAAAACAAACAGCTTCGATGCAGGTCCTCACAGTTGTGCAGTCGCGTGGTTTGTGCCCCTTTGTGTCAAGAGAATATCCCCCTCCCCCCTTTTGGTATAACCCAAAGTCGGGCTTCCAACCCGTGAGAGGTTGCCCGTTCTCCTCTGCTGCCCCTGCCCTCTGGAACGCTCTTCCCGTAGTTGTCCACGCTTGATTCTCTTCTTTGTTAGACTTCCCAGACCTCTTCTCCCCTTCCCATCCTCTGACATTGTCTCGATTCTGCTTCACGAAACGCCCTACCTAATAATACCCTCCCGCCCCGCGCCCCCCATCCCTTGCCTCCTGCCTCCTAACCCTAATTATAATTAGGGATAGAACGGGAAGGGGTGATAATTATCACCCGTTCCCGTTCTCCCCTCCGGGAGTGAAAATGAGAGATGTTTTTTGTTGCCGCATCAATAGTTACACATTACCGCACAGGTCAGCGTGCGCGTGGGTTTGTTTGAGTGGCTTGGAGCGGGTCGGCACACAACAGTGGTGTACTCCATCTGCCCGACTCGTGGTTTTTTGTTTTGCTATTGGGTTCATTATTTATTTTGTCTGCACGCGCTGATTGTGTTTACATTCTTTGCCCTATGCTCCGTCTTGAGACGTTCGTAGCATTTCCACTTTAAGTAAATACATTATTATTGAGATCTAATAGCCCATTCACTCTTCCTTCCCTTCATCGTCTGATTAGTCAAAAACAATTCCTGTGTAGATTACTGGAATTGATCATTTGTGTTATAGAACTGTTAGGAATATAACTATCACATTGTCAAACAGACTCTGCCTTCTCGACAGACCTGTTCTCCACCTGAAGACGGCTGCTTGCGTTGTGGCCGAAACGTGATAATTATTTTATTATGTTTTATTTCTATCTGTGGCCAGCGTGAAAGAGTAGGCATAACCCACCTTCCATAAGGAGCTCTCGAACGCTCTCTCAAGTGGAGGAGGCCTTTTCACCAGCGGTGGCAAAGAGCAACCAATTGCAGAGCTTCATATTCTTCGTTTTTTTCGGTAAAGTCACGTAGGTAAAAAAATAAAATTAAAATTAATGAAAGTAAAATAAAAGAAAAAAGAAAATTAAAATCACGACGTTTCGGAGGCAACACAAGCTTCCATCTTCAGGTGGAACCGTCACAGCACGCTTGCTGTATCAAGTAAATGAATTAATTGCAGAGCTGCTCGTCCTAGGTTCTTTTTTTTAGGGAGCCACGGTGGCTAGGAGATGTTAACCGCCTCGCCTGGTATACAGGAGGTCGTTGGTTCGATCCCGACACTGACACCTGCTGCTGTATATTTGGAGTTTGCGTGTTTTCCCCGTGGTCGCGTGGATTTTCTTCCGGGTCCTTCGGTTTTTCCCCTCCATGTTTACAATCAACGTGCGTTTAGAGTACCATGTTGGGCTGCCACTATAAATGTCCACGTGATAAGCCACTTCGTTGAGCTATCAATTGTAACCAGGTCGCTTCTGAAAAAGATAGCTCATTTGGGCCTTACCTGGTAAAACATAAATAGTAAAATTGTTGCATGGCTGCATGCACATCATTTGGCATTTATACGGTTTAATACAGCCGTGCGCGTGTCCACCTGTTGGGTTTTAATACTTCAGATACATGTACGTTCACGTACAGCACTTTCACAGCCTGTTGTTGGGCAATTACGTTTATAACGCGACGGTTCCGTCAGCCACAAGGACCGTGACACTTAAACGTGCTCCTCACTGAAGAATGATGTCCACCGAGAGGCGCCTTTATCCGTGATTTTGTGTGCAGATCACAGCCTCTGGGTGAGCAGGATTAGATTTTGTTCAATTGGAAAATCTTTAAGCTTGCAGATTGAATCCCAGCCCTCATTCGTTGCCCGCGTTCTTCACTCATCTCATTCGCCGTTTCGTTTCCTCTTGTGTTTCAGGTGCCGGTGAATCTGGCAAAAGTACCATCGTCAAACAGATGAAGTAAGTTACCCCGGCCTCCTCGTGTGCTGTTTGTTTTTATTCTAACGCAGAGCGCGCGTGGGGCGCGCGTGATCGCACGCCGTGTGACGGTTGGTCGCCAGGGGTGGGAGTGAGCTGTAATCCATTGGCAACACCTGCATATCGGCACAGTTATCTATTTGATTCTGCCATGTCCCCCCCCCCCCCCCCCCCCCCGAAAAAAAACACAAATCTAGGTATTGTCAGGCATTCTTACACGAACAGCATTTTACGTTGAGTAATAACCCGACCGCTGCTCTTAAATTGACTCTTCAGTCAAAACGTGGGGGTCTTTGTGGGTTTCTGGGTTAGATCGCGTAAATATATATAGATGTGTCATTAAAACCCGCCACCACCCGACACAGCCAACTAGTAAGGGTTGTCACGTAAACAGAACGTGCCAATTCGTCACTAGTACAGCACACGGGTGTGTTGGAGAGCCAAGCCACAACATTTACAATCCAAGTATAACGTTTCGTCAGTAATTACAACTAGCTTCATCAGGTGACAGCCAGATTTTGACAGCCACAAATCTGGCTGTCGCCTGATGAAGCTAGTTGTAATTACTGGCAAAACGTCATACTCGGATGGTAAATGTTGTGGCTTGGCTCTCCAACACACCGATGTGCTGTACTAGTGACAACCCTCACTAGTTGGCTGTGTCGAGTGGTGGTGGGTTTTAACGACACATCTATATATTTACGCGATCTAACCCAAAAACCTCTATTATGGATGATATTGGTTGCGAAAGCCTAACACGTGTTAAACTGTCTTTGTGGGTGTTTGCGTGATGTTGTGCCCATCACACTCACGCGGAAATCCTTTGGAATCCAGCAATGCTCTCACAATTTCACAGGGCACACAACAACAAAACAACGGCTGCATTGTAAAACCCCTCGCTCTTGCATTGCACCCCGATCAGGAACGCGTTTTCTGCGGTTTGTTTGCCTCCCAGGATTATCCACGAAGACGGCTACACGCCCGAGGAGTGCCTGCAATACAAGGCCGTGGTGTACAGCAACACCATACAGTCGATCATCGCGATTATTCGCGCCATGGGCAACCTCCGCATCGAGTTTTCCGACATGAGCCGAGCGGTGAGTTACCCGCGCACAGCCTCTGAAGCGGACGGCTCGTCCACCGCGTGATTGATGTGCGCTCGATACGTCTCCCGGGCTCGGCATCTGGAAGATCGGGTTCACGCCCCCTGGGTGGTGAGACCGATCGAGGGTCGCCCTGGATGCGCCGCCCGCGGTGTGATGCTGAAGCCAATAGCAAGTGGACAGAACTCACTGCCAGTCTCATGTATACACGCACATAGAGGGCAGGCTTGTACAATTAATGCTGTTATTTATCTCTTCCTGGCAGCTATTTTGACTTTCATTTGGTCAAGTCTAGAGGCCTTTCATGCCTCCGTGGTGGCTGCCCTGTCAAGTTTTGGTGTCGGGCAGAGTAATTTGTTAACGAGCCGGAGGTCGTCGTCGTCGTCTATTAAATTCCCGCGTCGTTGATTCACCGCTAAGGACACCCACGCACATTGGACGAAAATCTCGCGAGCGGAAGGAAATGGACGAAAGTTAATTACGGATGGTCGATGCGATTTTAATTAAGTGCTTTTCCCTTGGCTGGCATTTCTCTTGCTGCTTTTGCTCGTCTTGAATCTTATTTGCAGTAAACACAAAACAACCGTCCGAATAGTAACAAGGGGGAAACAATGTGTGCAGTGTGCTGGAATGTTGGCATTAATGGAATCCAAAATCACCGTACAGTTGTGTGCTTTGTCCCATTTTTGTTGGCACCTTCGAGATGGCTGCCGCTGCGTGGTGCGACACGTCACGCGATGAAATGTAACTGCGCATAAAAATCATCAGTCTTGGTACGCGTAGCGTGCGTGCGGTGCTGAGTGCGGCTACCACGGAGGGGCCTGTAGTTCGCCAAGACTGCTGTTGGTTCACCGAAAGGTTGTTTGTCATTCCGATTACAACTCGAGAACAAAGAGCAGTTCAAGGATGCATCTGTACGTATGTTGAACTTTTTTCGCGCCGTACGTAGCCAACCAATTGGTGTGGAGAGGGGGGACAACAAACTAGGCACAAAAAGCAATCGAAATGCAAGTTCGTTTTATGAGAGGGCGTGTACCTGACCTGTAGCGTGGGCAAAAACACAGTGATTGGTTGTGATTTGCTCGCCATCGACACCGATTGATTGATGGGTGAATTACAACAACTTTCAAGTCTTCATAGAGCACTTCTTAATGATTTACGGAGAGTCGTATATCTAATATCAGATCCCAACCCTGAGCCACCCGTGCCGACCTTCCGCACAAACAATGGAGCACGCTCAATTAGAATACACGCAGCCGGCTCACGCCACCACCTTCATGAGATGGAAATCAAAGGGAAGCCTGGAATGCAACTGCGAAAATGCTGAAGAAACCATAGGGCACTTTGCCAACCTCTGCCGACTGCGCAAATTCAACGGAGGCAGCAGCAGTAATGAATTTGGCCTCACCTGAAGTTAGTCAGATTGCATTCAGACTTGGGCATAGATCTTCCAGTTATTATTCAGGATGCCATACGCAAGACGATGAAAGTAGAGCCGTGCAAAAAAAAGTTCAACATACATAACTTAAGGTCCACAGCGGTACATGGCTACAGCGGTGAAATTGCACCAATGGTGCGAAGCATCCACCACGCGTCTACAACAGACGGAGTGGGCTTGCAGAGAATGCCACGTTTTTTTCTTGGTCGCTCCCGTTATTGTAAGCATATTCCCTTTAGTGCTCACTTTCCGCTCTGCAGAGAGGTCTACCGAATGAGAACATTTCTTGTCTAAGACGTACGTGCACTGCATGTTGAAATTCTTTCGCATCGTACGTAGCCAACCCTGCTAATCGGAGGTGTGGGGGAAAGACAACAAACTAAACGCAAAAAGCAGTTCTAAAGAAATTAGTTTTCAATTTATATTTAAAAGTGCATTGCTCCAAGTGGCTTCATAATATCGGTAGGAAGAGCATTCCAGGCGGCTGCAGACGCACATCTGACAGCGCGCGATGCGGTGACCGTCTTTGTTCGATGGCCAGCCAAAAGCCGCTGCGGCGATGAACGGCGTTCGCATGACGGCGTATGCTCCTTGACGCATCCTCGTCGTGTCAGTTTAAGGTTTGCCCGCAATATGGCGGCGCTCCGATATACCGTTGAAAATCGGGCCCACGATAACTACATCGTCGGGTTTTTGCCAAATATCGTAATGTTTGCGATCATCGTTGCTCGTTTTATTATGTTTTGAATGTTTAACTTTCGCACGAAATGATAGTAAACACAACAATCAAAGTACAAATAAATACTTATTGCCCATTCAATTATCGGATGGCAAAATGTTTTTCCGAGCCATTGATGGCCTGATAATACGATATCACAATTTTCATAATTTATTCAATTACTTTGTTGAATAGCTGACAGCATGTGCTCTGCAAGCAATGCAGATTGCAATGCATTGTTTAGAGAAATTGGATGGCTGGAGTTGGTGAACTTTGAAATAATCTTTATTCATATATGAAGTACAACAAACCATACAAACAATTCAATGAATGTCCAAACTCCTCTTTCAGAGTTTCTGAGAAACTAATATCTCTATAATTGTCAAGTCGTGAAAACGGATATCATATCTCATCGTGAAAAGTGATATCATGGCAAGCCTAACTACTACCCAGAAAAGATGCCTTCTATGCACGACTTTTATAATATTTCATATTAATGTGGCCTTTATGGTATTTCAAATTTTTTCAATGTTAATGAATGTGATATTTAATTTCACCATTCCAGAAAACATATGTTTGCAAGTTGATAAGATGCTGCCCATGTTGGGTACTAGTGAGTCACGGTTATTGTGTATTTTATTTATTCCGGTCCGTCCCTTTCAGCCGCCACTGCCTCCCCACCATCACCGAGTTCCCCTCCCACATCCCATTAAAACATTCCAGCCCGGGCCACATTAATACGCCTATCTGTGGAGTACTGTCAAGTCCATGGCTTGAGCTGTGTGAGTTTACATTTTAATAATCCCCATTGATGCTTAAAGTACGCTGTACATTAACCCTCATACTGATTTACAGAGGACTAACACTCACCGGGTGGCAGCTCAAAATACAGCGCGGCATCTGTGAAAAGAGCTTCATAACTCATCGGATTCCTTCAGTATGAATAAATATTCTGATACAAAATGGATTCACGTGCCATCTGAATGCTCAATATGTCATACAACGGTCTGTGCCCTGCCAACCTGCCACACAAACCACTCTCCCTCATCGTTCATACCCCGAACTGTTACATTAAACCTCTTCACTGCCTCTGTCTTACTGCCTGATTGCAATTTGCAGTTTTTCAAGTCTCACGTCAACAGCTTCCAACTCTACAGCTCAGCGTTCTTCATTGCAAGGCCCGCGGGCAAATGGTGGCCCCTGGTGGCCTTTAGTGCGGCCCCTGACAATACACAGATGTGAAAACACCCCCATTGTGTTGTCAAACCCCAATGGTTTCAAATGTGTGGCAGCCCTCACGCTGATGATGTCTTATTGGTGAAAGTGGTCCCGCTCTGCTATCATTCCATTTCCGAAAGAATGCATGCTGTAGTACACGGTCTATGAATTTAATTGCACAATCTGATAAATGTTTTCTTTTCATCTGCTCGACAGCGGCATAGTAACGCATCTGGCATGGGCCCTGCTGCTGCTCCCCCCCCCTCCCCAGGCAGTGCAATTGCACCGCCTGCACACTCAATAGCTTCTCCACCGATGCATGGGTAATGAACGCGCCGAACGAGTTCTCTACGTTCTAAACTAAACAATTTGTATTTAGCTAAACAGCTCTTTTAAGAAGTGACCTGTCCTCAAATGACGGCTCAACGAAGTGGCTTATCGTGTGCAAATGTTTTGCAGCCGAACACTCTAAACGCACGTTTTTAAATGTGGAGGGAAAAACCGGAGGACCCGGAGAAGAATCTACATGACCACGGGGAAAGAGACATCGCAATCTCCGAATATACAACAGGCGTGAGGGTCGGGTTCGAACCCACGACCTCCTGTATACCAGGCGAGGTAGTTAACATCTCGCCACGTTGAGCGGCGAATGCCCCATCCGCTCGCCCCACAACTTCACTCCCCCCCCACCGCCCCCCCTCTCTCTGCTCCTTGGTCGCAGGACGATGCGCGGCAGCTGTTTGAGTTGGCGAGCACGTCGGAGGAGGTGGCGCTCACGCTGGAGCTCGCTGGGAACATTCAGCGGCTGTGGATGGACGAGGGCGTGAAGACCTGCTTCGGTCGTGCCAACGAGTACCAGCTCAACGACTCGGCTGCGTAGTGAGTACCCGTGCAGCGGCGCGTCCATTCATCGAGCAGCGACACTCGGCGCTTTCGTCGTTCGTTCATCTCGCGCATCGTCGGCGAAGGACCGTTGCGCAAAACGCGTGACCTCTTGCGAGAAGCATTTGCGTGAACCACTCTCGAGTGATTTGTTTGATCCACCGTATCACGGGGGGGAAGGGGGGGCGATCACGGGGGGAGTGGCGCCATTCCCTTTGAGGACCGCACTCCACTTCGAACGCCAACCGCCAATTGAAGTGCGTTTTCGTCGACAGCCCTTTATTTTCGTATTGTTTTTACTTCAACTCCTCGACGCAAGCACCGGTACAGAGCACCGATCACGGAACAAAGGGTGGGGGGGGGGGGCACAGAAATTCCACGAACAAAAGCCCGAGATTGGCGCGGCAGGGCTTAGTGAAGGAGGGAGCGGGGGGATTGGGCTCGACGTCGACAGCACCTTAACACCGCACCTCCGATTAGCACGGTTGGCTACGTACGGTGCGAAAGAAGTTCGACAATCACACGCCCTAGACTGGAGAAAATACAGAACAGGCGACGTCTGGGGCAACGACCCTTGCTGGTAGAGAGAAAGGCCATTGCCTGAAATTTCACCGGTTGCGTACGTTTTAATCATTCGGGGCAGTATTGTTGACGAAGCGTGTTGGGTTTTTGTCATTGGTGCTCATGCAGTACCGCTGCCAATGCACTATTGCAATAAAAAAAATATACACGCATGAAATCGTGCATTTTAGAATCAAGATCTCTTAAAATTATCTACTAATAACATCGGTCATGAGTGACTTGTTGATGGGTCTTGGGCCTCCTCTTCATAAACCCATAGTGACCCGCATGGCAAAGCGTGGCCAATCAACTGACACGGCATGAATAAGCCTTTTTTGAGGAGTAAATTGCAAAATATCCATAAATGATTATTATTGCTGGACAGAAAAAAAAAATGCAGTCGTACAAAGCACGTGGTGACCGTTGAACAAAAAATGAAAATAATTTAATCAAATCACGATCCCAGATCATGCCAATAAATGTAATTACGTGGAGGGTGAATGGATAAATGCATCCCATTTAATCCAGAGCGACTGCTGCCGCTGCGAGCAGTGGCACTACCGAGCATGCGTTTCGCCTTTTAACGTTTTTTCCTGTTATTGCCATTGGATCGCGCGGAGTTTCACATTTGATCCATTCCCCTCGTAACTCATCAACCCTAACGCCGTCAGGCCTTCGGCGAAGCAATGCTGATGCCATCCCCGTCACAGTTGTTACGCCGCCCTCGTACGCCATGAACCCCCAAGAAGCCGGTTTCCACCTCAATGGCAGCGCATGCCTCGTCATGACGAAGATGAATCGGTTGTCATTATTTAATTCCCAGCAAGTGCCCCCTTGCTGCCACTGTTGGGTTCAGCGCCCGGGTGTTGACAGTCCTGAATCCCCAAAGTGATGTCATCTCAACCAATCAAACACCGGGGGATCGACGGACCGCCTCTAGTTTTATGGAGAATATGAATAATCGTAGCGTTAGTCATCACGTCAGCAGTAGTCACAGTAGTAGTCGCAGCAGCTGTAGTCATATTTGTATCAGCAGCAGTATGTATGTTGAACTTCTTTCACACCGTATGTAGCCAACGGTGCTAATCAGAGCAGTGGTTACAAGTGCAGTTTTTTATGAGTAATGTGAGTCATATTAGTATCAGTGTAAGTTGTCATATTTGTATGAGTAGCTGCAACCATATTAGTATCAGCAGAAGTCGGAGGTGTTTGGAGCAGCAGTAGTCATAGCAGTACTGTAGCAGCAGCTGCAGCCATTGGTGGCAGCAGTGGTCCTACTAATATTAGCATCAGTAGTCAATAATAATAATTGAAATGTATAATGCGCATTCCATCCTAGGATCACAATGTTCAATGCATGGAAAGCAGAAAACAAAAACAACCAGGGCCACCGACCAAACTAAAGAGGGGGGAAGGCCGGTTTAAAGAGATGGGTTTTCAAAGTAGTCATGGTCGTTTCAGCATGATTAGCAGCAGTAGTCATGGTCGTTTTAGCATTCGTAGTCATATGAGCATCAGTAGTTATAATAGTAGCAGTAGCACAGTGGACTTAGTAACCACAGCAGTCGTCGTAACTTTAGTAGTGGTAGCAGCAGTACTGCAGGAGCAGCAGTACAGGGCTAGTTTTGAACTAGAGGACTGCATTACGAGCCGGGGTTAATTACATTTCACACGGAATTGAATATCAAACTGCTGGTTGATGTGAATATTGTAACAAAAACAAAATCAGGAAACTACTTTAACATGATTTAATTTGCCTGCTTGCTTGAATAACGGAAAAAAGCGATCGCAAATGTGAACCGGTGTCATGGGCGTTTGTGGATCGTTAATTGTGGAGAAAAGGGACAGGCGGGAGGTGGGGGACGGAGGGTTTGGGATGAGCGTTCGGATGAAACCTCGCGCCGCCCTGAGCAGTCGAGGAGGTCAAAGCAGTCGAGGAGGTCAAAGCATATTCTTGGTTCTTTCAGGAAAGTGACGTAGAATATGAATCCCTGCAGTCACGAAATCTTTAAATCGAAATTTGAGGTCAAAACAGTCGAGGAGGTCAAAACAGTCGAGGAGGTCAAAACAGCAGCCGTGGTGACGTGGGTTCGAAGCTCGCTCTGTGGACGTCCGTTTGTTACGGACGTAAAAGAATATCGAAAGTTACCGCCACCAATGGACATAAATGTCAAGACTTGGCTGACGTTGCCGTCGTCATCCGGGCTGCCGCAATAAAAGAACGAAACGACGCTTGGGATGTTGTAATACACTGTGACACCTGGTCGGGCTTATAAGACTTTGCCACGGAATGGACTAAGCCTTTTGTACCAAGCAGTGCCTGTACTGTATCAAGAAAAATGTGCTCTTAATTTTTTTTTGTAATCATTATTTATTTTCTTCCCGACTCCTATTACAGTTGTGCTCTCGGTACCAGGTCATGCGTCACACACTAATAGAGAGTGGCCCTCAGAAGGTGATATTACAGAACTGCTTCTGAGACCCCTTTAAGGAGCCTCTTAACCGTACAATGGGCACCACACTTTGCGGGCAGCCAGAGAAATAACCATTGCGTGGAAACCAAATCGAACTGGAATTTTGCCAAATTATTTTAAAAGCCATATTGTATATGATGAGGCTTTTTTAAATTGACCTCACTATATTTGAGAACCAGGTTTAATCGCAGGTAGCTGAATCCCAGACTTGAACCCAGGAGGCCGGCAGTGACGGCTCACTGCTTTGACCCCTGAGTAACTTAGCCACCTCCACTAACTATAAAGGGTGGTCCAAAAGTCACGACACATCGGGTTATTTAATTTAATTTAACTGCCTTCCATGAACAATGATGCACGCATGGATGTTTCTTTTGAAATGAATTTAGGACATTTTTTTACATTACAGCTGCCTTCTTTGGTGTACATAAAAACGAATTGAACTTGTTCGTCTTCTTTCCATCTTTACATGTCACCTGATAAAGGAAGATTAAAAATAGATATTAAACTAAAACTAAACTTTACCAGGTAAGGCCACTGGGCTATATAGCTCCTTTTGGGCAAAAGCGACCTGACCACAAATTATAGCTATTATCATTAAATATTGACGAATAATGAAATATTAACCTAAAGAATGAAACATTAAAATGTCTTTAATGCCAGTGTTATAATAAAGTAAATAACCCGATGTGTCCTGCCACGCTTGGGCCCACCTTGTTGTTCGCAATGCAGCAGCAACCAAGTACATTTGTAGCGTGGAATTTCCATGAGCGGAATGTCAAGTGGCGCGCGAATGCCTCTCTAGCATTCGAGCGCCATTGCTGATGTATTTGTGTAGTTATTTATTTAGTTTCACCTTTTAGCAATAGGCAAAGAGTCATTTGTCACTGCAATCAGGATTTAAGTAAAGCCGGACTGGCAACGGTAAATGCGTCAGTGCCGTTGACGATTCGCAGCGGCAACGTTACGTCACTTTGGCCAATGAGTCACGCGAAGACGTATATAGGCTGTCAAGAGGATAATTGTTTTAGATCCCACTTGTACTCAATATGACACCCCCCCCACCCACCAGCACCAAATAAAAAGCCGGAAGTCAACACTCTGAAAGCAATTTCAGAAGACGTATTGAAATGTGACCATGGTCCCATTTGCTAAATCACTCGCAAAAAAGGAATTTTGAGATGTAATGAAACACTCTCCTAATAGATTGACAGCCGCGGAATGTCAAGGTATACAATCATTCAGCAGTTGATTACCTTGAATGCCCATCATAAACATTGGGGTTTTTTTTATTGTGTAACCCGCAAACAGTTTGATTTGAAATGTGTGCATGGGGTTGCGGCGTTTGAGCAATATTTGGCGGCCGTTTTATTTGTATATGTTATTGTGTGTACTGTATGTAGCCGTACAAATGTAGTGCTGAACTTTACGCGGACAACTTCTTCTTTTTCCGTCGTTACTTTATTTGATCAAACTCAGCACATTCCACCACCCACTCTCCAGCGCGTTCTCCGCTCGCTCGCCGCACTCCGCCGGCCTCGCTTGCTCCGTTCTTCCCTCTCTCTCTCCGTCTCTCTCTCCACCGACTCTCCTCTCTGCTTCGCCCGTCTCGGCTTCGATCGCCTCGCTCTCCCTCGGCTTCTCCGTCTCACTCTGACTGTCTCTTTCGTTCCCGTTCCACTGCTAGCCTATCCTTCATCTCGTCTCCTCTTCTTCTCCTGCTCCACCGCTACCCTATTCTATCGCTCATATCTTCTTCTTTTGCTCCGACCGTCTTCGTCCAGCTCCCAGCACAACTCCCCGTCTCACTCTCACGCTCCCGTATTTATCCCCGTCCCTATTAATTTCCAATTAATTAACCAGCGTCCCCCCGACGCCACCTGCTCCCATTCCCAGACTTACTGGCGCCACCATTTGTCCCTGACAACAACAACCGGCCAATCACTGCCCTGCATCCCATAATTA